GGGGGCGCAGGTTCCATCCCTGGTCAGGGAACCAAAGGTTCCACTGCAGGGGGGCGCAGGTTCCATCCCTGGTCAGGGAACCAAAGGTTCCACTGCAGGCGGGGGCGGGGGGCAGGTTCCATCCCTGGTCAGGGGACCAAGATTCGGCCCATGGCGGAAGGGGAAGGGGAGGAATATTAAAACAGCGTGGTCAGAAGAGTCCTCACAGAGAAGACGGTTGAACCAAGTTCAGAATGAGGGAGGAAGTTAACCACAATGATACTCAGGGAAAGATCTCCGCAGGGACAGGGAGCTGCAAGTACAAAGGCCCTGGGGTGGAATCACACTGGTGTTTTCCAGGCGGGCATGGGGAAGCAGGGGATGAGTGGTGGCGACTGAAATCAGAAGTGAAAGCCTCAAAGCACTGAAGGAGCTTTGGAGGGATGATGATGGCTTGGACTACCATAGTATGGCTGCCCAGCCAGCGAGAAATGGCTGGAATCTTACTCTTGTCAGTAGACTGGATGTGTATTATGAAAAAAGAACCAATGACTTGAAGGTTTGTTGCTGAGCAACTGAAATGTTGGAGTTGCAGTTACTCTGAGGGCAAGGGGTTGGTAAGATCAGTTCAATTTTGGAGAAGTTGTTGGAGATACATGCTAATACACACAGGAGAAATGGAGAGCATCAGGAAAGGATTATGCCCAGGAAAGAAGAGGAGAAAAGAACTGCAGGAGCCTCTTTGGTTCTCATCACCACATGCTTCCCCTCTGCTGCCTATATTGCTTTGTTATATAGGTGCTAAAATCTTTCCATGTATTCTTCCCCTTTAAAAACATAAACAGAAGCCATCCTGCATAGTAGGGGAAAGAACAGACTTGAATTAAAAATCAGGCTCTGCCATACTAGCTGGTTGACCTCAAGCAAGTCACAACTCAAGTCTGATCTATAAAATGGTGTTATTTCTACCTACCCTACAAGGGCTTACACATCATATAGTGGCAACTCCATAAGCAGCTCCTTTTATTTATCCCCAGAAGAAAAGGTCTTATTGTTTAGTTCTGTTGTTGTCATCAAAGGAAATTAGCATTACTGAAGCAATTTAGCAGCAGCAGCAGCAGCATTACTGATTCCCAGTGATGGTTGGCTTCCATCTTTGCCTTCCTCCACATGTTTGACTCTTAAGACTCTATATACAAACTCCACCCTTTTCATTTCCTTCTTAATCTCCTCTCTCCCTCCCTCCTTTCCTTCCACAAACTCCACACTTTTCCTGTCTCTTCCTGTTCTGAATGGCTATTCTGTTTCAAGATGGGCTACACACCTATAGGACAAACAGCTACAACCCAAGCCCCAAGTTTCTCATTTATGTTTACTATCCAGCTGACTGGGAAGACTTTGTGGAAAACCAGGAAAAGGACAGAGGATTTGCCAATAAATTTAAATTAAAGCATATTTGTGGACAGGAGGCTGAATTATTCAAGCTTGTCCCAACTGAAGTTCACTCTCCGCTAAAGATGTTTCAATCTCAGATCTTAGCTCAAGTAGGAATGGTATTAAGGTAAAACAAAAATGCATAAATCCATGGCAATCTTTTGTCATTATTATGACTAACATAATAATTTGTGTACAAAGTGGTAGTAAAAAGAAATGATACAACCTAGTCAAATGTTTCAATTTGTAAAACTAAGGAGCAACTTTAAATAATGGAACAATCTGTTCTCTGCCCATGGGTGGCTGGACACAATCCAGAGTTAGGAAATTTGTAAATGATTCAGCCAGTGGATCAAGCTGAAATTCAAAGTGTACAAAGACTGGGAGAGGTGAATCTGCCTACTGCAATACCTTTAGATGGACCCTCAATCATTCAGACTCATTAAAAACCTCCAGAATTGCTTATGAGTATCTAACAATCTTTATCTTGATGTTAACTCTATACCATCTTTTAAAGCATTTGTTCGTTACCTGTGAATGATCACAATGCCAAACCTAATGCAGTTATCTGCCTAAAATTAAAAAGAGTTTACACTGTAGAGTTGTACTCAGCACACACCAAGTATGCGGGATGGGGATGATACATGTACTTTTAAAACTGAGTTTACTTTTAAAAACTTGTTTAAAGTTTCACCATTTGGCTTTGGAAAATAGGTGTAACTGGCCATATTTATTATTTACTTTCTGACAAGGACTGTTTTAAGTCACACATTAATTACCTTCATAACAACCATGATTTAGATACAAGTATCTTTTGTAAATACAAGCAAACTAGGTATAGGAAGGCTAAGTAATTTGTCCAAAGTCACCTGGCAACTCAATGGACATGAGTTTGAGCAAACTCCAGGAGGTAGTGGACAGGGAAGCCTGGCGTGCTACATGGGGTTGCAAAGAGTTGGACACAATTTAGTGACTGAACAACAGCAAAGCAACAATAACAGGACAACATATGCAGCTTCAGCAAGCGGTCCTGTGGCAGCAACTGGAATTTGAGGGAGACACCCTTCCATGTTTTGCAGTCACAAAAATCATCCTAGTTGTGTGTCCATGTTCTTTTTCTAACTCCAAAGTGGGGTTATTTTCACACATTTTCTAACAACTACCCAAGTTACTTAGGTATTTTTATGAAAACTATTCACAGTAGAAAAAGATGTCGTATATGTCCTTCATCTAGTTTATTAAAACCATGAGCTGACAGCATATTCAGCTTAGATTCCTCCAGCTGAGCCTTTGAAAATTTCCAGATGTACAGCTGGATTTAGAAAAGGCAGAGAACCCAGAGATCAAATTGCCAACATCTGCTGGATCACAGAAAAAGCAAGAGAATTTCAGAAAAACATCTGCTTCATTGACTACACTAAAGCCTTAGACTGTGTGGATCACAACAAACTNTGCAGCCACAAATTTAAGACGCTTACCCCTTGGAAGAAAAGCTACCAGAAACGGAGACAACATGTTAAAAAGCAGAGACATCACTTCTCTGAAACAGGTCTGTATAGTCAAAGCTATGATTTTTCCAGTAGTCACGTATGGATGTGAGAGTTAGACCATAAAGAAGGCTGAGAGCCAAAGAACTTTTGTATTGTGGTTCTGGAAAAGACTCTTGAAATTCCCTTGGACACCAAGGAGATCAAATCAGTCAATCCTCATGGAAATCAAGCTTGAATATTCATTGGAAAGACTGATGCTGAAGATGAAGCTCTAATACTTTGTCTACTTGATAAAAAGAGCCAACTCTTTGGAAAAGACCCTGATGCTGGCAAAGATTGAAGGCAAGAGAAGGGGACAACAGAGGATGTGATGGTTGGATGGCATTACTGACTCAATGCACAAGTTTGAGCAAATTCTGGGAGACAGTGAAGAACAGGGCAGCCTGGTGCGCTGCAGTCCAAGGGGTCAGAGTCAGACACAAATGAGTGACTGAACAACAGATGGGAGACACTTCTATCCCAACTCTGAAGCAGGGAGATTGTCTGCTTCAAGCTCAACTTCAGATCCCTGGAGTTATGGTTAAAGCGGTTTTCTGCCCTGACTCTTCTTTACACAGGTATACCCATTCAGACATTCACAGATACTGCAAATCTTCTACATGAAGCACCTTATGCTAATTAAAAGTACAGATAACTGTTGAACAATGAGGGAGCTGGGGGTGCTGATCCTTCAAGCAGTAAAAAATCCACATATAACCTTACAGTTGGCCCTCTGCATTCTTGGATCATATAGTATGTGTTCAATGAAAAAAAAAAAATCCACACATAAATAGATCCACGCAGTTCAAACCCAACTTGTTCAAGGGTCAAGTATAAAATGCACTCAAATTTATAACAGGATTAATAACAATAGACAGAACAATCCAACCTTATCCAACCCATTGATTTATTAAGTCAACCTAGAATGGGAATATAGAAGGTAATATTCCAACAGGTCATCCCAATCCTAGTTTAGTCACTTGCTAATG